TCGATCCTCAGCACCACATACAAACGAAGATGTTGTGTCCGCTGAGAACTAAGAAAAAATAAATAAATATTAAAATTCTCTCTCTCCCTCTCTCTCTCAAAAAAAAAAAAAAAAAAAAAAAAAAAAAAAAAAAAGAATTCTATATAGGAGCTGGAGATGTAGCTCAGTGGTAGAACACCTGGAGTGTATAAGATCTCAAGTTCCATCCCCATCACTGCAAACAAAACACAGTTAAAAAAAGAATACTGTATAGCAAAAATCAGTGAATGAATATAGGCTGTGACTCAGCATGGAGAGAACTTGAAAACATAATGTTGAGTGAAAAGGGTATGTTCCAGAATTGTAATAGTATGACGTCATTTTTTAAATTTTATTTTTATTAGTGCTTTGTAGCTATATATATGATAGTGGGGTTCATTTGTTTATATTTACTTTTTAGTTATAGTTGAACACAATATCTTTATTTAATTTATTATTTATTTTTATTTGGTGCTGAGGATTGAACCCAGGGCCTTGCACATGCTAGGCACATGCTCTACCGCTGAGCCACAACCCCAGCCCCACTGGGATTCATTTTGACATAATTGCACATGCATGGAATTTAATTTGCTTCATTTCAGTCCCCAGTACCTTCTCTTTCCCTCCTATTCTCGGTCCTCCACCATTCTTCCTATTTTTGAAACCCACCAAACCATACTTTTACTGTTTTTCAATATGTACATATTAAAGGCATATAGACGTGGGCAAGAAAAACTGTACATCAACTTAAAGATAATAGTTACCTTTGAAAGGGGAGGAGAAAATGAGATGGGGGATAGCTAAAGAGGAATCCCAGTTTACTCTGGTATATTTTATTTCTTAAAAGGCAAATATGGCCACTAGTCACTGTGGTACACACCTGTAATCCCAGTGGCTCAGGAGGCTGAGGCAGGAGGGATCGCAAGTTCAAAGCCAGCCTCAGCAAAAGTGAGGTGATAAGCAACTCAGTGAGACCCTGTCTCTAAATAAAATACAAAATAGGGCTGAGAATGTGACTCAGTGGTTGAGTGCCCTTGAGTTCAATCCCCAGTATGCCCCCAACCCCCCAAAAGCAAATATGGCAAAATGTTATGATATAGTAATTCTATGTAGTRGATTTGTGTTATTACCTAATACTTTTCTATGTGCTTTAAATATTTCATCAAAAGTACATGAGCCTTGTGGTAGCTCATGCTAGTAGTCCCAGTTACTTGGAGGCTGAGGCGGAAAGATCACTTGGCTCAGGAGTTCAAAACACCCTGGGCAACATAGCAAGGTCCCCCCCCACCCAAAGAAAGTCTATGGGTATCTTTAGAATCATAGTGACAGTCAAGTAGGATGTCCAGAAAATAGACATTTAGGCTTTACTGCAAGTTGGAATTTAATAAGAGCCATTGAACACAGTTTCCACATTTAAACACTAAATAGGTCATCAGGGAATTGGTGGATTACATTTGATAATTCTGATGGAGTGTTAAAGTGTGGAGCAGAATTTAAAAATAAATAAATAAAATACCTGTGTTGAACAGAATAGTATGTGTCAAGGATGAAGGGCTGGGGGTATAGCTTAGTCGGTGTAGAGGGTTTGCCAGCGTGTTGGAGGCCCTGGGTTCCATCCCCAGCACCACTTAAAAAAAAAAAAAGAAATAACTAGATGAAGACTTTTATGTGGTATATATAAATCTGAAGGTGGTCATTTGCTGCTGCTTCTTCTCTTGTCCCAGGAAACTCACTTTGACCTTTCTGAAGTCCATATGGCTCTATATGATGAAGATCTCCTGAAGAATCCTTTCTATCTGGCTCTTCAGAAGTGGCGCCCTGACTTGTGCAGTAAGGTGGCCCAAATCCATGGCATAGTAAGTGCATTGATCCTGAAGGTTGTCCCTGGGCATTGGTGATGCCACGGATGTGGTGGCTGGAGGRGAAGTATAGTGGGAGTCTGTTACAGACCTGCTGGGTTTACTTCACCTCCACATCCTGCCCAGTGTGCCCAGTGTGAGAATGAGCCCCAGGGGCTGCCATGAACTGCTCCCTGGAAGAAGCCTCCTGCAGCTGCAGCCCAGTGATCCCTTCTCCCAGGGCTCCTCTCCCACTTGTGATGAATTGTGCCCTTTCATGGAGTGCCCAAGACGGTGCTGCAATCATAGGTGCTCACCTCTCTCTCTTATTTACCTGTGGGCTTCTCAAGGACAGAGTCAGATTCCTCCTCAGGACCTCATCAGTTAGGAGGTGGGTGCTCACTCCCATGAGGGGACGAAATCTGTGAGCTCTTATTAATCTGAAAGGCATTTCCTAAAGGGGAAGATCTTCCATAACAGGCCACAACCTCAAAAGCCCACAGGGCCAGTGAGGAAGGAGAAGCATGGAGGAGAAACGTAGGCTGTGGTGTGGACATCTGCTGCCAGGAGGGCAGGCAGGCCCCGGGTGGCAGGTCTTCCTGGTCCTTGGGCCCCCAGACCATCTTTAGACAGCATTTCAGGATGCAGCATGCTGAATGCGTTTGTTGTGTGCCCTCTGCTTGAGACGTCTGTGGTCTTATTTTCATGTGTCGTCTCATACCTGTGCTTCCACTTATCCCCTGGTGGGACTCAACTCAGGCACGTTAGGCATCTGAGGAGGAGAAGTAAGATTAGCTCAGGTTGGCCTCAGGTTCTTGGCTTCCTTTCTGCAAAACCGGAACTATCTTTCTCCTGACCTCTGTCCTCAGAAGTGTGGTTTCTCAGGTCCCTTCCAGTTTTTATGATTCATTTTGTGATTCATATTTTCACCAGAACTTTTTTTACTTTGGATTTTAGAAGTCATAGTTTGTTATTAAAAGAAATAGTGAATATAGCTATTTCCAAAGAAGGAAATTAAAATATCAGTGAAGTTCACCATAGACATTCATTGTCATCTGTTCATCTCACAGTGGTTATTAAATGCTGCCACATGCCAGGCAGTACATTTGATGCTGGGAATTCAGTGAAAAATAGGAAAACACGTCACTGTCTTTTTTTTTGTACCAGGGATTGAACCCAGGGTGCTTAACCACTGAGCCACATCCCTAGCTCTTTGTTATATTTTATTTAAAGACAGAGTCTTTTTTAAAATTTTTTTTTAGTTATACATGGGCACAATATCTTTATTTTGTTTATTTATTTATTTTTTTATGTGGTGCTGAGGATTGAACCCAGGGTCTCACACGTAAGAGGCGAGGGCTCTACCACTGAGCCCCAACCCCAGCCCCAACACAGGGTCTTAATTAGTTTCCCAGGGCCTTGCTAAGTTGCTGAGGCTGGCGTTGAACTCAAGATCCTCCTTTCTTAGCCTTTCAAGCTGCTGGGATTATAGGCACATGCCACTGCACCCAGTCCCCATGACCATCTTTACCCTCATGGAGCTTAAATTCTAGCAAGAGAGACAGTCACACCCTGGGCAAATACATACTCATTACTGCAGGGGGACTTATGCAGAGGAAGGGGGCCAGATGCTGAGTGGCCATGTCACAGGGAGGACCTGACTTAATACCAGGAATMATTTCTCTCTTCTTGTCTCTGTTTAATGCTATTTTTTTAAGCACCACCGAGGGTTTTATCATATATAACTTTGTTTTGCTTTTTATAAATGTCACTGTGGTATTCCTTGATTTTTCAGTAAATTCTTTGTAAGTTGTCTTGCTGACTGAAGCCTGAGAGTGTTCCAACATTTATCAGTTCCTTTCACCTCATAGGTGCTTTTTCAGCTGCAAGTAATGGAATCCTACTCAAGTTCACTTCAACGGGGAGATTCAGAAGGGAAATTTTATTTTTTATTTGTTTTGATGCAGCACTGAGGATAGAACACAGAGGCATTTTACCAACAAACTATACCCTCAGCCTTTAATTTTTTTTTTTATTTTGAGACAGGGTCTCACTAAGTTGCTCAGGCTGGCCTCAAACTCAAACTAGCGATCCTCCTGCCTCAGCCTCCCAAGTTGCTGGGATTATGGATGTGTGCCACCTATCAGAAGGGAAATTTTGAATAAGAACTTTGCCCTTTTGATATCTTCTTTTCAGGTACACAAATGAATGGAAGATTCTCCTTTAACTTGCTATCTCATGATCTTACCAGTCTCCTGGATCCCTTACTCCAGCCCTTCCCGAGACCCATAGGATCCCCTAACTACTTGTGGTCTGTATTGAGTGACACTGAATTTCTGGCCTTTGGGAGTCAGTGAGGCCGGCCTCCCAGCCCAAGTCAGCAGTGGGAAGGAGCTGCTCTCCTGGCATGCTCAGAGAGGTCAGATTGCAGTGGCTCTCTCCTGCCCCCTGTCCATGTGATGGGGCCACCAGCACATCCCTGTCCAGTCTGTAGTTGTGCTTGAGTCCATCTCTTGGTTGAATGACCAAATAGAATATTCTGATGGCCTCTGAAAGGGCACTCATTCTTTCTGTCACTTCTGAGAGATCGACGTGGCCTTGGCAGGTGAATGCTGAATTTCTTTCCATGGAGCTTGGCCATGGGACCAAGTATGACTGTCCTGGAATCTTGCCTTGTGATCAGTTTTTATTGGGCTCTAAAAAAATTTGAGCCCATTTTTCAAAAAATGTTTGTCTTCAGGATTAATGGCCCCTGCTCATCCCTCTATAGGGAGCTGGTGGGCCACCTCATCCTTTGCTGATCTGCACCAGCTTGTATGTGGGGCTGAGTGTGCAGCCTGACTGCTGTCCCACCCTGCTCCGGCTGCTGCTCCAGTTGGCTTCATTCTAGACCCCCTTTCATGACAGTGGCATCTCCTTCCTATTGTCACCTGCTCTCTGATTGCACAGTAGAAGTTCCTTCTCCAGTGCTCTTCCAGATTCCACTCACAGGAGCCTGTGACACTCTACACTCTTCAAATGGGCATCCCTGCCTTTAATCATCTGGCTAATTATGCACTTGTGTCTTCCTCAGAGTGTGTTGGGCAGGCCTGCATCCCTGGGGCTCTTGTCCATGAGCTGCTGAGGGAAGATCCTTCAGATTCTCCAGGTGTGCTAGAGGGTGGATCCATGTACTCTTAGGAAAAATAAAAATTACAAAAGGAGATTAAGTTTGATCTTTTATTGATGTCCTTTAATKATAGGTTAAATAGGCTTTGAGGATTAGCCTGGGAACATAACAACATGGTATCCAGCTTCCCAGGAACTGATTTTCAAGCTGAATCTTCTGCAGCCCAGCTAAGGGCACTGAGGTTCTCATTCTAGTTCTTAGGATTCATTTAGTRTAGATTCAACCAGCAAAAGTTTACTGAGCATCAGTAATGTGCCAGGCACTGAGCAAGGTTTCCTGGGTTACGTGGATGAATGGGAATTACAGGAGGCATTCAGGGAATTCTAGAAACAGGCCATTTGATGGTTAGAAGAATGAGTGTAGGATAGTCATCATCACAGGCTCCAGTGGAGTGTTTTATCCAGTTTGGGGAACCAGGAGGGTACCCTGRAGTAGGTATCACTATTGCAGATTCTTGATTTTTATTCTTTTTTCTCTTCTTTAATTACTGTTATTTTTAAAAGTCTTTGTAAAGGGACAACAAAAAAGTTGTTAAACTTTGAAGTGAGTAGGTTCTAGTTTGTGGTCTACACACAGACCTTACACTCCACAGGCTGCTTAGACTCCCTGCCTTCTATTCTAGGACTTCCCTGCAGCACCTTCTGAGTGGAGGACCCTACCTCCCTAGGTGTCTTCATAGCTGTTTTGCTACCTACTTCAGGGTGGGCTTCCTCATCCCAGTCTCAGAAGGACTCTGATGGAGGTAGATTGGCCACAGAGGTAGATTGGCTTTGGCTTCTGCTTATAGTGAAATGCTCTGGGCAGCAGGGGCCTCTCTCTGTTGGAATGGGAGGAATTGGAACCCTTTTCCCTGTCTATCAGAAAATTTTGGGCGAGGGGTTCTGTGAAATCGGGAGGCCCCTGTTCACTGAACAAACATGGACTGCACATTGAGTAGCAGGCTGGGCAGTGGGACTCAGCGCAGCAGGAGCCAACAGGCTTCCTTTAAGTTGGGGAGGAGGAGCTGCGTGTAAACGAGAGAACAGGATGGTAGGGAAGAGTTCTCCGAGCACGCCAGGAGTGCCCGGTTCTGCAAAGGCAGATGAAGGCCCTTCCTTGAATAGGATGGTGTGGGTCTTTCATTCAGGCCATTTGTTCAGGCCTTACATGCCTCCAGGACTGGCCCCTCGTGTCCCTGTGAGACTTACTCTTCTGTCTTCAGATTCTTTGCTCTTTTGTGCAGCCATGAGACCCCTGGGAGCCTTGTTTCTTATTTCTAAGTTGAGGGCCTTCCTCTATTTAATTTTTAATTAAAATTCCAGATTATTATGTTTAATTTCAAACATAAAAGTAGGAAGGATAACATAATGAGCCCCACGTGTCCTTCACTCAGCTTTAACAAATGGGAATTTAGTGGCTGGTCACGTTCCATCTCTTTCTACCCTGAACCCTGGATTATTTTGAAGCAAATCCCAGACTATTATGTAAGGCTGACATATGATTTCCAACTATAAATATTTTTAGGAACATATTTTTAAGTGAGCATGACTTTTTTAAAAAAAATATAGCCCTAATGCCATTATCATAGCTCAAACAATCCTCCATAATTCTTCAGTATTATCAAATAGTCACTTCAATTTCCCCAAATTTTTTCCTAGCTTTTGTTTTATGGTTGGTTTGTTTAGATCACAATCCAAAGGAGAGCTGCACATTATATAGACCGATTGGTCTTTTAAGTTTGTTTGTCCTAATTTTTCTTGTGTCGAACTATATGCTCATGGTGTAAAATTTGACGCATTTTGACCCCATTTTGACATGTGTTAGGCTTGTGAAAGTAGTCTTCAGCATTTTAGAATTATAGCTTCTCCTCTCCTCCTTTTCCTTTCTTTCTTTGCCATCATTTGCAGAAGAAAACAGGTCATGTTGATTCCGTACTTTCCTGCATTCTGCCTTTTGCCAGTTGTGCTCTGTGGTGGTGTTTAACATGACCCTGTTTCTGAGGTTGGTAGTTAAATGTACATCTGGATCGTAGTCTTGAATTTTTTGAGTTTACAAGGTCTCCTCACATACAGGATTTCCTTCTCCCATCAGCAAGTGCTTCCCTTTTCTGCTGTGAGGAATTGTCCTGTCCCTCTGAGGGGAGATGGCCATGCTGCTCATTCTCACCAACTGAAGAAGCCCATGATGATGGAGTTTCATGGGCACTGAGCTGTGCTTCCAGCACCGGCTTCCAGGGGGCAGTGGGATGGGGCCTCCAGGGAGGTGGCTGGAGTCTATAGCATGGCTATGCCACTCACTGGCTGTGACCTTGAACAAGTTACTTAACTTTCCTGAGCCTCAATTTCCTTATCTGTAAAGTGGGGATAATSCTGAAACTACCCTACCTAGGCAGTTATTGAAGTGATAGCTCTCTGAACCCCTCAGCACAGTGCCTGACACATAGCATTGCTCAAGAAATGGGAGCCCCAGCTCAGATTACACAAGCCTACCTAAGATGAGGTTGCTAAAAAAGAAGCCTCTGTTCTTACCTTTAAAGAATGCAAGACTGGCACACGGTTCACAGTTGGTAAAGCTTGCTTGTAGGTATTTGGATACCCATTACATTATGTTTCCACTCTTGAATGTCTTGGTGGCCGGGTTCTCACATACTAAGTGTACTGATCAGGGTCTGGAGTTCCAGAATTGTGGTTTCTGATAGCTTTTTTCTAAGCTTAATGATTGTTTTGGTGGAGGGCCCATTCTCTGGAGTTTCCTACTCTATATTTCTGTGACATCTCCTGAAATTTAACCCATTTGAATCATCAAGTTTTAGTTCTAGAGGGACCAGGAGGTGTTTATATCTCTGTCTCAGGCTGGAATCAGCTCCTTAATTGGCAGCCATCTCATGTTGGAGTGAACTCGGGACTGATTGCTGGTGGCTTCCTCGATAGCCCTTCAGCTCTCTGGGGACCACAAGTTAAACCCCAAGGACTTGTGTCCTGCTCTAATAGCTGAGTAAGATAAGGAAAGGGCACCTCTGATTCCAGAGGAGTAGTGGCCCTCCAGGGTCGGGTTATGTGCCAGCCCAGGGCTGAGTGTGTCCTGTGGCCTGCATGACTCTCTCAGCACACCTGTATGCTGGGCACTTCTGTTGGAAGGAACTGAGGAACAAGGACCAGTCTTGTGTTCAGGGCCATGGCTGGGAAGCATATGACCAGGAATGGTGCCCAGCCCACTGGACTGTCATAGGAGTTTGGCTCTGTAGGGCTTCTCTGCTTTGGTCATCTTCCTTTTAGGTACACTTGAGTCTGAAATTCCTATTCAAAAGTGAGTCAGCCAAGCACAGATCTGCATGTGGTTGTGCAGGGAATAGAGTTGGGGGACTCATCCAGTAGGGGAATGAAGCCCACCAGCCTCTGAGTCTGGATTTGGAAAAGGACTGGTGTTGTCCTCAGCCTGCTTCTTCCTGGGTGGGGAGCATCTGCTTCCATCATCTCCACAACAAATGAACTCAGCTTGGTGCAACTGCAGCCACTTTGGCAAGCGAGGCTGTTGTCTCTGCCAGTGGGTTCCTGTAATGGTTCCAGCTGTGCTGCAGAAGCTATAAATGGCATCTCTCTCTAGTGTTTATTGTCATTATTTTTTTCCAGGTCTTAGTGCCCTGTAAAGGAAGCCTATCAAGCAGTGTTCAGTCCTCTTGTCAGTTTGAATCCTACATTTTGATACCAGTGGAAGGACATTTTCAGACCTTAAATGGAAAGGTACTCATTTCTTGGGTTGTTGACTCAGTATTTGGGGCTGGGGGAGGGAAGGGAATCCTGCTGAGGCCTTGCACATCTGTTGTGGTAAGCAACATCTTTGAGACACACAGCAGCCTTTGGGTTGGGTAAGAGGACCGCACCTTTGTGGTAGAGCATTGGAGGAAAGAGGCGAGGTGAGGGGAGACCCCCTGGGAGGGTCCGGAGGAGCCAGGTGGCTTCCTCTGCCTGTTCCTGGGAGTCTCTGAGCCCTTTCTGAGCAAGGTCTATGTCCAAGTGAGCTTTCTTCCCAGGACCCTTGAAAGGCCCTTGGTTCATTGGCTATAAAATTGGACATAGGGGATGAATATTTTTATTTTTAAAAAACTCTATTTTGAAATAAATTCAACCCCACCAAAAGTTGAGCTGAGTACATAGAACCCTCGAACACCCTCCCAGGGTGGCCGGCTGTTCCCATCTATGCCACACTTGTTTTAGCTGTCTCGCCCAATACACCTGTTAGTACTGGTTTTTTCAACCTTGTGGGAGGATGTTGTAGACACTGCGCCCTTTTCTCCAAGGCAGTGCAGGGTGTTTYCCTGACAATAGCCATTCTCTTACGTGACTTCCGTGCAGGGATCACAACTGGAAAACTCACCCTTGATAGAATGTTCTGCAATTCACTGTCCTTACACATTGGGCTCATTATAATGCCCTTTTACACACACAAACAGTTTTCTTTTTAAGACCCAGGATCAAACGTGGTGTTTGGTTATTAGCCTTTCTAGTTTCTTTTCATCTGGAGAAGCCCCTCAGCATTTCTGTGTCTTTCATGACATTTTTTTTTTTTCCAGAATCCCTCTGTATGGGCTTATCTGGTGTTTCCTCACGATTAGATCACAGTTGGGCATTTTGGGTAGGAATGGGGCTTTTTATCTTTCTTTCATATCCTGTCAAGTGGCCCGTGGTCTTTTTGGTCTATCCTGATGGCAGTGTGGGTGGGTGTTTTTCTTTTTTTCCAGTGGAGGCAGGTAGGTGCTGAGAGGGGGAGTTTTGTTTGCAGCCAAGGCTGGCTCGTTCAGGGGGGTCAGGCTGTGGTTTGTCCCTGGGACTTGGCAGCCCAGGCATGTGGACTGGTGGGGAGAGGAGGTTGGGGTTATTGGCAGGCCTGCTTGGGGTCAGCAGCCCTGTGGCTCTAAGAGACATGATGCTGTCTTCCTGCCAGTGAGCTGCTCACCCTGCTGCCACTCACTGGTTAGTGTACGTGCCTGAGCGAGACACTGCAGTGGGGTGGCCGCGTCTGGGTCAGCACTGTATGGTGGGGTTGGCTGAGAGGGGGTCAGCTGCCAGCAGTGATGGTTTTCTTGTTCCAGGATGTCTTTATACAAGGAAACAGGATTAAATTAGGAGCTGGTTTTGCCTGTCTTCTCTCAGTGCCCATTCTCTTTGAAGAAACTTTCTACAATGAAAAAGAAGAAAGTTTCAGCATCCTGTGTATAGCCCATCCTTTGGAAAAGAGAGAGAGTTCAGGTATTCTGGGAGAAAGCCCTTTCCTCCTGCTTGATGAAATGGGGCTGTCGAACTTCTTCACGGTATAGCTGCTAAAGGGTTAAATGTTGTAGAAAATATTCAAGTTCTTACTAGAAACCTACTATTTATAAAATTCCCCTTAGAACTTAATCAACGTCATCCCTGGCTAAGGAGGTGCTGCTGAATGTGGTAGACCAGGTTGGATATTATACAATTCCAGAAAGTGCCATTCACATGAACCTCACTGTACTTGTGACAAACCTGGGTTGTGAATGTCGCCCCAGAGCCATACCCCTGGCCTTGTTTCTGAGAGTCAGCTTTAGGATTTGCTCTTATAACATTACTRCCCACCAGCCTCCCCATTGTGCCTCTTTGAGATTTCATTATTTTTAASTTTGTCTATTTATTTATTATTATTATTTTTAACATGTGCTGAGGATCAAACCCAGTGCTTTACACATGCGAGGCAAGCACTCTGCCACCGAGCCACAGCCCCAGCCCAAGACCTCATTAGTTTTAAAGAATGGTTATTATTTTAATTGCTCCAGAAGGCTGAGATGACAATTTGTGTGTTAAGTGTGCTCTGAAGCTCTTACTATCAGGAATCAGGTTTCTTTTCCTAGCCCCCATGGATCATGCCCATGGCCTCAGGGAGTGCAGACATTGTCCCAGGAAAAGGTTTTGAGAGGACCATACTCTGTGGACCTCAGGGTGTTCTGTAACTGGGCTGTTCTTGGACAGTATCTTGAAATAAGGATATTCCTGCCTTTGCCTCCAGGCCCTGTGGGAGCAGGACAAAGGATGTGGTACTTCCCCCATCAGGAAACAGTGAAGACCTGGGACAACCTGACCTTCTGTCTCTTTTTCAGAAGAGCCTACAGCACCCTCAGATTCCTTTACCCTGAAAACTATTGAAGACGTGAGAGAATTTTTGGGAAGACACTCTGAGAGATTTGACAGGAACATCGCCTCTTTCCACCGAACATTCCGAGAATGTGAAAGAAAGAGCCTCCGTCACCACATAGTTAGTAGCTTTGTCGGGCTCTGCCTGGTAGGCCCTGTCTCAGGCCAGTTCAGAGCCTCAGGATCCCTCTCAGTTTACTCTGAAACGTCTCTGGGTGCTGCCTTCACTGTTGGAAGTTTTGTTTAAAAGTTTCTCCTGAACTGTAAAAGCAGCATAGGTCACCATAGAACACTTGCTTGAAGAAGTCTAAAAATGAGTATTGTTATCATCCATGGTAACTGTAAAGGGAATTGTTTCCTACTTTTAATACATATGTACCTAAAAAAAATGGGAAAGAAAATCAATGATATAATTATTCTGAAAATCTTATATTACCCAGGAAGTGCATTTTGGGAAGGTTTTCTCCATGCCAGGAAAACCTTTGCTCATTCAGGTTTATGTGTCATGACCTCTGATTGTAAGGGGGCCTCCTCTCTCTCCTCTGTGTTGCACAGGACTCGGTGAATGCGCTCTACACAAAATGCCTCCAGCAACTTCTGAGGGACTCTCACCTGGTAAGCCGCAGGACTTCCAGAAGGAAGCATTRCAGTTGGCATCATGCAAATCCAAGCTCTTTAACTGTACTTCTCTCATCCTCTAGAAAGTGCTTGCGAAGCAGGAGGCCCACATGAACCTAATGAAGCAGGCAGTAGAGGTGAGCAGAGAGGGTAGCGGCGGCTGGGGGCACTACTTGGGCCAGCACACACACTGAACCGGGTTCTGTTGATTTCACAGATGTACATCCATCATGATATTTATGATCTGATCTTTAAGTATGTGGGGACCATGGAGGCGAGCGAGGTAGGATTGCAGTCATTTTCACCATTTGGGATGGAAGCCTTATTCTATGCTTTTTAAGAAATTTTAAGCTTCGTTAAAATCTTTTGTTAGGATGCTGCCTTTAACAAAATCACAAGAAGCCTTCAAGATCTCCAGCAGAAAGATATTGGTGTGAAACCTGAATTCAGGTAAGGGCCTGCACTCAGCTTGGCCACCTTGGAGCCTGCACTGACTTCTCCTGAAGCAAAACCTCTTGGTGGCAATGGTGGCAGGTGGATTTGACATGGTTGCTACCAAAAGCAGAGTAGTTATTTGTGACCAAAGATAAAGGGTTGAAGTTGACTGATGACTTCAGCAGAACCTTCCTGCACCTGCAGGCCAGMATGCTTCAGCAGGACAGACGCTGGGGGTGGGGTTCATGTCATGGTCTGCAAGCAGGCACATCACTCTCCCGAGTGGGCTCTGCATGCAGAATGTCTCTCCTCGCCTGCCTATCTGAAATGTCTAGTGTTGATATAGAAGCTCCAGCCCCCTTTGGGCTGTTTCCCTCTAGGGCTATAAATTTTTATTTCAAAATTTCTGGTGGCAGTCTTATCACCTGGCAGTCTGAATGGGACTTAAGCCATTCTGTTCTGCCACTGACTTGAGTCACATTGCTCTTCAGTCTCTATTTTTGTTTCTCATTACTTGTGGTTTGTTGTAAGGAATGTGTAGCCTGAGATATGTTATTAGAGCAAGGAAGAAGGCCTCCCACTGTGGTCTGAAGTTATCATGTTCTGAATGATTCTACAGCTTCAATATCCCTCGTGCAAAGAGAGAGCTGGCTCAGCTGAACAGATGCACCTCCCCACAGCAGAAGCTGGTCTGTTTGCGAAAGGTGGTGCAGCTCATTACACAGTCTCCTAGCCAGAGAGGTTTGTGCCTGGGGAAGGATCTGGCAAAGGGTGGGAGCAGGCACCCAGGTGAAGAAGTTGGCTGAGGGATATGGGGCTGAGGGCCAGTAGAGCATTCCAGTGCCCCTGCTCTGGGGAGAGCTCTGCTGGGCATGACGAGGGTAAGAAAATAGGGACAGGGAAGCAGTAGCCTCCAAGCTGGTGATGGGTGCATGGAGAATTAGACTGTTGGGGTGTTCTCCTTCATTTTGTATATGTTTTAAATTTTCTAGTATTAAAAGTAAAACAGGGTCTGTGGATGTTAGCTCAGTGGTAGAGCACTTGCTTAGCATGCTCAAGGTCCTGGGTTCAATCTCCAGGACTGCAGAAAAGAAAAAAAAAAAAAAAGCAAAACAAAAGAATCTAAGAAAAAAATTCACGGACACATATGTATAGGTAAGGGATGATCTCCACGGTTTCTTGAAGGAAATAAATAGGAATGTATATGGAACACTTCAAAAGTATCAAGGAAAGGGGTCGCTCTATATCCACATGTGTAATGGTGAGTTCCTAGACTGTCTGTGTTCCTAGGAAAGATATGCAGGAAGCAGCAGCAGGAGACTGGGACACTGGGTAGAGGGCTGGGAGGACACTCACAGCTTGCTCTTTTGTACYATTTGAATATTTATCTGTCTACTTATTTATTACTGAGGATAAAACCAGAGCCTAATTCATGCTAGGCAAGCACCCCACCACTGAGCTACAACCTTCATACTGGTTGAATTTTAAAACATATGAATGGATCACTTAAATTTTCAAAATGCAAAAAATGAAGTGAAGTTACGTGTGGGCATTAGACTCCACGTATATAAAATGTAAGTGGCCTCAGGCTTTTGTTGATGACTCTAGTGTGTCTTCCTTTTGTGTCCACTGTCACTGCTTCCCTGGGCTCTTCCTTCCTTGCTCATCCGGGAAGGTGGCAAGTCCTGGTTGGCTTGGAGTCACTTTCTTTTGCATGTTTTCTGAAAATGCCGTGAATTCTTTTATCCRCTTGAATCAGATATTTCTTCAGCAAACTGTAAAGGAAATTGTGCCCTTTCTCCCCAGTGTACAATCTTACTCAAGTGTGGTTTTGTGGGTTGGCTGGTGGTAGGGAGATTGTACACTTATACTTCCATTTGAGTCTCCTGATGACTTTGAACATGTTTTCCCCTTGCAGTGAACTTGGAGACTATGTGTGCTGATGATCTTCTCTCAGTCCTATTGTATTTGCTTGTGAAAACAGAGATCCCCAATTGGTAACATTTTTTTGTTGTTGTTAAAAATACTTTCTGAAAATGGCAGCATAGTGGTACYATGTACTTTCATTGTATCTCCAGGAAAAGCTACAACTGTGCATGTCCTGTGAGCCAAGGGCTGTGCCTCCCCTTCCTTCCTCTTACAGGGGTGTCTGACCCTCCATTTACAAATGGGGAAACTAAGGCCCAGAGAGCTTGCATTTCTTGTTCTGGAACATGTGGCTAGTCTGTGGCTAAGAGGAACCTGACTCCAGTTCTGTCTTCCCAGGGGAACCCACAGTTCAGTTAATAATAATCAGCTTTGTGAAAACTAGCCTATTTCAGGGAAGTAACAAGCAGATTTACTTGTCCTAATTGCACACACACAGTAGAGATCAAGGGGACAGCAGTCTAAGCTCTCTGAGTTAATTTTGACTTAACTGTGGGTATTTGATGGGTTACCCAAGCCACTAGTGTTTTTTTTTTTGGAAGAAGTGTTAATTAGGTATTCAATACTAAAACTTTTTTCTTCTTTTTGTTAGGATGGCAAATTTGAGTTACATCAAAAACTTCAGATTTAGCAGCTCAGCAAAAGATGAATTGGGGTACTGCCTGACCTCAATCGAGGCTGCAATCGAATATATTCGGCAAGGAAGCCTTTCTGTTAAACCACCTGTAAGATCTCATTCCTGACCTTTCTCTATGTGAACCATGCACCTTTGCTGGGATTCTGGGGTTTCTTGTAAGGAGGAGAATTCTTACATGGTCTCCCAGAAATGGGGCCTCAGCTGTTTGAAGGCTTTGAGGCTTAGAAACTACCCCAGGATGTTGAATATTAAATCTCTAATTAATTGTGAAAATTACAGGTTATCATTGTGATTCACATTGTTAATATCCTGCTTCATTAATCCCTGTGATTTTCAAAAGCACATGTGTGGAAAGGAAGCCAGAAATGGTGAATTTGATTTTCTTGACAATGATAGCCAAGAAATGATTATTAATGTGAGTAATTTTAGGACTCAGTGGACTTATTATTGTTGTCTGGGTTGGTTGGTGAGCTTTGACTAGAGGAAGAGGTTCTATTTCTGTGTGAGCTGTGAGACTCTTAAGTCAAGATTGCATTGCTGGCCTGTTTGACTATACACCAGCCAACAAAACTCACAGTGCTCAGAAAAATCCCAAAGTTGAAATCAGTAAAATGCAGCGATTTCTGCATTACAAGCCAAGAGTCCTGACGAATGGATATTCTATTTGATGCTAATTCTCTATTGATGTYAGAGTCAAGTTTATATACCTGGAAAACATAAGCCTGTCTAGACAGGTGTACTCAGATAAAAGCAGTTCCACTCAACTCAACATTAACACATTGCTATGTTTTTCAGTCTTTCCTATCCATGCATGTTTTATGTAATTAAAATTATATTGTGTACTATTTTTTCCCCTTAAAGAAGAGCTTTATTTTTCTAATTACAAGACTAATATTTGCTTACCAATAATGTTTGCAATGTATCAAATTTGTAGTGAAGTCAACTAAAAAACTCTCAAAAGTTTACCAGCAGGGGTGACTTTTATTGACAAGTTTGGTATATGCTTTTCTCTTTGTATTAAAGGTTGTGTTTTAAACAGAATTTGAGATTGTGCTGTCCTGGTCAGCATATACCCTGATGGCATTATAGTGCTCAATGAAGAGTTAATTTCTGCCCTTGCCTGGGGTCTGATTTGATACCCACTCAGGTGCTGGTATCACTAGAGATGTCCRTCCACCTCAGATGTGTGGCTGTGGCTCTTCTGAAGAGCTGTTCCTTCTGCCTGGCTTTATTTCTGTAATTAGGAGTAAATCACTAACGTTCTAGAATGCTTGTGTGTGCATGTGTGCCTCTGTGTGCACACATGCCTCTGTGTGCACATATGTGTGCAGAATCAGAATTCCTGTTCATTTCCATAGTTGGAGAGGAAGAGTTCTTGGTTTGAATTGTTTCCTGTGAGGCTTTAGGAACCCTTGCTGTCCTCAGGTGCTGGATTGTTTTTCTGTGATGACCCTGCCTTCTGGTTCTTTTCCTGTGATTGGTCTGAGAGGTCGCTCCCTGGCTGGGAGCATCCTTGTCCCTTGGAGAGAGGTGTCCACCTCTTGAAGGTACTCCCATAATGTGGTCATTTCTTTCTGTGGCGTTTAGGTAGGGAAGTTGACCCCTAAAGGCCTTGGAAGAAGGTARATGACTGCAGGCAGCTTCTCTCACCTGCTTTTACTCCAAAAAATGTTGCAAGTGGTTATATTCGAGGTGGTCCCTCTAGTGCTGTTGATTTGAGTCTGGCTCTTGTGTCTTAGTCTCACTCTAAGCCTTTGTTCAATGTCATATCTACATAGGTGGGGATAATGCTGCACGTTTATCCATAAATAGGTTGTTGTGAGAATCAAATGTGATGTTGAAAGGTACCTTTTTGAAGCATCAAGGGATACTCATGCCCTTGCTTGCTCTCCCCACACCCTGTATCCAGTGTGTCTGTTTCTTGGTTCTGTAGCATATCCTGTAGGCATATCCCCAACAGTATTTAGCTTGGGTGGGCAAGCCCAGTGTGCCCATCTTGTCTGCAGTGCCTCTCCTGGTCTTGCCTTCCTGGATGGAGGATATTCTATTCTGTTAGATGTTGGGGCATGGGGTGTGTCAGCCTCATGGCCTGTTTTGAGCTTGTCCCCTGGGTGTTGAGGGAGTCAGGCCTGAGAGATACTCCTCACCATTGTCGAGCTTGGCCTTTTATTGACAGAGTAGGTATGGTGCCTTTCTTGTCTTTCTTGACAACACCATCGAGATTCCATCTGTAACAATATCCTCTGCCTTAGCTGCTGACCAGCTTCTGTTAGGCAATGAGGTTTCATTTTGGAATATGTGAAGCCAGTGAAAGTCTTGGGGTATTTCCTGGGGGGAAAAAAAAACCCATATGCATCTCCACACAACAACCATGGTTTCTGAAAAGCATTAAAGTCTAAATGTTAGTAAAACAAATTAGGTCTTTCTATCAACTGTTTATATGATAAACAGTTAGAAATTTTCTCCCTAAGGTATGATCATACTTGAGATGACCATAAACATTCTTTAAGCATGTTTATAAATGAAGACTTTAGCTTTCTGAAAATAAATATACTGGTTAAGGCTGTAGTTTTACTTTATGCATCAAACAATAAGCAGGGGGAAAACCTAGAAAGAATCTGTACTCTTTCTCGCCCCAGCTTTGGGCACTTCTGGGCTTCCTCACTTTCCTGGGTTTCTAACAAACAGTCTTCACCCATTTCCCAAGTAAGTCTTTGCTGATACACTGTCTCTTCTAACCACTACTTCTTCCCTGAAGCTTCGGTCCTGGAAGACCTACCTTCCTTCATCACTGTCCTTCAAGTCGTTATTTGGAGCCAGGGAAAGAGCCCTGGAGTGACCTGCACAGCAATGTCTTTGATATTTCTCTGRCCTAAGCTGCTCAACTATAAGTCACTGCTCAAAGCAGATTGTTGGGAGGCTTTATATAGCACATAGCAGCTGGAGGCAGAAGTGGCTTATTCTGAAGTGATGATGTGCATTTGTCAACTTAACTCTTCTTCAGGGACAGTGGGAGGCCCTGGCTTGATGGAGGACCCCAGAAGTGGTCCATCCCCTGAGGTGCCAGTAACTTGGTCCTTAGCCAGGTCAGAACTTAGCGGGACATAAAAAGAGAGAGAGAGTGCCTCATCCTGAAATTTTGGCAGGGTTTGGTGATTTCTTCCAGCAGCATCTGGCTGGAAAAAAAAATTCTCTTTGCTTTATCAAGACCCTTTTTCAGGAAATGAATATGTCATTAGATAATTTAGTCACAGGTGCTCAAGTGAGCATGGAATTATTTTGCTAGAAATGATTTCATAAAGGACAGATTTCTAGATTTTTGTACCTAGGTAAACATTACCTGCAATAAGAAGATCTGGGTTTATGAATTGGGTGGATCCTTGAAATGCAAAAAGCAATGGGAGATGAGAGAATCCGTCTGTCAGGAACTTCCCCAGTGTCTCCCAGGACTTTAGCCTGTGACTGTATGGTCTCCTGTTTTTAAAGCAAGGCCCTTCCTTCTCTTGCTGATTGGCATTGAAAGTAGAGACCAACCAGTCAGATGGTTTTCCTGTCTGAGGTGCTGGTTAAAGTGGCAAGGAATAGGCCCATGCATGTGTTAGGACAAGTTTTAAGGGGGAGGAGAGCAGGACAACCCCAGTTTCCATCTGGAGGATGATGGTGTGAGTGTGCTACATTCCGCATGCAGAGATGACAAATTCCACACCCGTGTCACCAGTGTGCTGCTTTCCCGCAGCAGGCAGCAGTCCTCGGAGCCACCACTTCCAGGTGGCCCTGCTGTCTCCTGGTGAGCAGATCCAGGTGCAGGAGAAGAGACCTGCCGTTGCTGCTCTSTGATGAATGTCAAGGATGGTGGCTGGTCCCTCTCTGAGGGAGGGTCCTCATCAATGTCCTGTGATACATGGTAACAGGTGGTTTGGTGTCTCTTGCAGGAGTCTGAGGGATTTGGTGACAGGCTGTTCCTTAAGCAGAGGATGAGCTTACTCTCTCAGATGACCTCAACTCCCATTGACTGCCTATTTAAGGTAAGACACTAAGACGTCTTTGCCTACAGAAGGCAAAGGAATGCCCATCTTTCAATGTCTATAAAACCCACCAGGTGATCTGTGCAAACTCTGAAGTACACTTTGTGCCAGTCAGGGTGGGTGGTAGGAATGCCGAGGTTTTAAATTCTGAATTAGCCCGTCTCCCATCCCCTCCAGTGTGGGCAGAGTTGTGGCCTCATTGCACAGTTCACTGAAGACCTGGGCCTTAGAACCCGCTGCCTGGGCAGTCCCCCTCTCTCAGTTTGTCCAAGTTCTGCTTGTTCCTTAAGACTGGCTCAGTGGCACCTTCTTTGGTAGCCCTCTCGGAGTCACTGCCTCTCCTGGCTCAAGGTGCTTATATACCAGGTGTTCGTGTGAGCACACCCCAGGCTGGGAACCCCATCAGGTTTCTGGTGGTTTGATGGTGGGCACATAGAGGCAGCTCCCTACTCTGATGCTGAATGATCCCTGGGGGACTGGTAGGTGCCCTCTGGGTAGCCGCTGAAAGCTGGGTGAGGGCATACCTCCTCAGGGTACCTGCTAATGCTTCTCGGCTACCTGGTGCCACAGTGAATTCTGTGGAGGGAGCACATCCAGGGACTCACAGGCTGAGCCTTGCAGATTGATGGGGCCTCCTGATAATTTTCTCCAAGCTGAGGCTATATTAAAAAATAAGAGAAATAGGACAGAGGCTTTTCTAGTGAGGTGTCAAAATCCACACTGAGGCTCAGAGATGTGTTATACCCTCCCCTTCCCCGTGCTTCTGGAATTTTGTCATACTTGTTTTTTAATTATGGGAAATTTCTAAAGAAAATAGCATAATGAGCAAACCACCCAATCTTGTTTCGTCTCCACCTTCCTCACTTTCCCCATCTGCCCCAGTGATCTTGAAGCACATCCCAGGGAGTGGGTCATTTTAGCCATAAACACATAGATGTACGTTTCTGTCAATACTAAAAAAATTYGTGCCTTCAGAAACGAATGATTCCTTAATGTTGACGTTATCTGGGATGTTGCTCTTTAGCACATTGCATCAGGTAACCAGAAAGAAGTGGAAAGGCTTCTCAGCCAAGAAGACCATGACAAAGATGCCGTCCAAAAGATGTGTCACCCACTGTGTTTCTGTGATGAGTGTGAGAAGCTTATCTCTGGGTAAGAGGGTGCTGGTGAGGCTTGGCGTGTCAGGGAACAGGAGACCCGAGACTGGGGGAGTATTTCCCATGGGATTGTGAATGTGGCCTTATTCTCACTGTACCTGAGCTGCCTCTTGTCAGGTGTGGGCAGTGACCTGTGTCTCTCTGGAGAATTGGGTGGAATAGAGGTTATAAAAATACCTGCATGCTGCTGGGCCAGATACCAGGGCAGGCTGCAGTAGGGCCTTCCTAGCCTCAGAAAGGGGTTTCAGGATGGGGGAGAATGTTACTTTTCCCTGGTACCATGTTTGGTTTCCCATTATCCTCAACAGGCTGTCTTGCAGGGTTTTGAGGCCTAAAGGATTGATGGGGAGGGGACCCTAGAACTCTGGGCCTCAGGTCCTCACACTACAGGAGTCCGAGCAAGGGCTGTTTGATCCCTGGGACAGTATTGAAGAGACCCATCTTGGGTCACATTCTGAGATCTCTCTTGCAGCCCCAGGTCACTGGCGTGTCCGGCCTGGTCCAGAAGAGGCTGTACCAGGCCATTTCATGGTGTGTTTTTCTGTGTCTTCCTCTATTTTAGGAGGCTGAATGATCCCTCAGTTGTCACTCCTTTCTCCAGAGATGACAGGGGTCATACACCTCTTCATGTGGCTGCTCTCTGTGGTATGTGGTCTTGGGGCTGGCTCCTGTGGGTTATTGAGGGAAGTGGGTGGCACAGAAATGTGATCCCAGCCCAGGCCTGGCTGATAGGGGTGGTGGAAGGGGTTGTACTGTGGGGCCAGCACACAAGGGCAGGAAAGAGAAGATGGCCCCAGGCCGACTTCTGGGCTAGATGGGCACTTGCRTATGGTTCTCACTATGTGGAGAAACTTCAGATACTGCCTGGGCCTGCTGGCCAGTAAGGGAGGACTGGCATCCTAGCTGTGAGAATGGTCTTTGATYGTCAGTTTGAGTTCTTGTAACCCTGCTTTTAAAAAGTAAATTTGAGCCAGTCCTGATAGCATGTGTCTATAATCCCAACTTCTTGGGAGGCTGAGGCAGGAGGATTGCCTGCCTCAAGGCCAGCCTGAGCAACACAACAAGACACTGTCTCAAAAAAAGTTGTTTTTGTGTTGTCTTTAAAAGTGTACATTCAAGGTAGAAGAGTAGAAGACACAGACTCCTCCAGGGTTATCCACCATCCTTCTATCTCCCTGAGATAATTTTGATTCATTAGTATCTGAAATGTCTGCATGCTTGCATGTGTGTGTATATACAATGTTTGGTTTTGTGGGGGCTCATGCTGTTCTGGATTGTGTTGTTTTTCACTTGGCAATGTGTCGGAACATTTCTCCTTGTCCGTATTTTGAATGGTTTCAAAGTATTTCACCCTATAAATTGATGAACCATGCACTCTTCTGTTGATATCAAAGCTCTTTTCCATTGCCTTTTATTACCGAGAGGTAGACCTGATCTGAGTCCCCAAGGTATTCTGAGTCTGCACAGCCTGACTTGACATTAGCTCTGGCTCCTCTCAGGCAAGAAACGGGTCTCCTGGTGTCTCTTGCCAGGGCACAGGAAGACGAGGTGGTGCAGGAGTTTCACKTTAGATATGGGAAGGTCCTCTCTTTCCTTCTCCACTCTGAAGACCCTCTGTTCTGTAGGGCAGGCGTCTCTCATCGACCTCCTGGTTTCCAAGGGTGCCATGGTGAACGCCACRGACTATCACGGGTCCACTCCTCTTCATCTGGCGTGTCAGAAGGGCTATCAGAGTGTGACGGTGAGCAGCAGTGCCCTCCCAGTGCTCAGAGGAGCTCAGCTCTGCATGGGGGCTTTATGGTCCTGCTGGCTGTGCTGCACCCCAGTCTCTCCCAGCACYACGCCTTCTCCATTCTGCGTAGGCGCTGCTGCCGCAGTGTGGTCGGTACTAGGAGGCCATGGCGCCTGCCCAGGGTTTCTCGACAAAATCCTTAGGTTGGGATGTGAAGCTTCCTGGTCRTCTGCTGAGAGAAGGGTGGGACTATAGACTTTTTTTTTTTCTTTTTTTAGTCTCTAAACTTTTGGACAGGAAGAATAAGAGTGGTGGTAACATTTTAATARGAGTACAGTTTGAGTATCCCTTATCTTAAATGCTTCAAAGTGTTTTGGAATTCAGATATTTTTGGATTTTGTAATATTGGCACATTCCTAATGAGATATTTCGGGAGTGGGATCCAAGTCCAGATACAAAATTCATTCAGATTTCTTATATCCCTTACATACATGGCCTAAGARTAGTTTTATACAGTATTTTAACTGTGTCTACATTTTGATTGTGACTTGTTGCTTGAGGTTAAGTGTGGAACTTTTTACTTGTGATGTTAGTGCTCAGTTTCAGATTTTGGGGGCTGGGGATTTAGTTCAGAGGTAAAACCCTTGTGTAGCATGTGCAAGGCCCTGAGTTCCATTCCCAGTACCACACACATGCACGTGCACACGCACACCCACACAAACACAAAAGAAGGAAAGAAAGAAAAATTTCAGACTTTTGGAGTATTTTGGATTTCACATTTTGAGATTAGGAATGCTCAACCTGTAAAAATAACTAAGATTTAAGATGGGAACAAATGACCTCCCCCTGTAAGCCTCAAGAACACACTTCCTGCTAGGGCTCACCTGCTGTCTTCTCTCCTCTGCAAGCTGCTGCTGCTGCACTATAAGGCCAACGCTGAGGTGCAGGACAATAATGGCAACACCCCACTCCACCTGGCCTGCACTTATGGTCATGAAGATGTAAGTGGCACTGGGAGAAATGTGAATTTCTGACTAGTTTAATTTTGTGTTGATAAATTATTGGAACACTGGGTGTGTAATTTTTTTAATTAAAATTTTTAAATGTATTACGGATGCTGTTTCAAAGTAGCAGAAATCTWAAACTTAGTTGCCCGTTATCTTATCCTCATCCCATTTTCCTTCCTTGCCCATTTTCTTCCATGCCTGCTACCATCTGGTTCTTATCTTTGTATATAGTCAGTCTTTCCCTTTGATGGTAACATCTAGGAATTTTTAAAGTTTCACCTCCTCTATTTTACTATGTCTTTTGTTTTTTGCTACCCACTATCCCTCCTTTTCTTCTCCAGAGTTACATAAAGATAGATTTATACATATGCAGAGTTTAGGCTGGGCTTGGTGGTTGATGTACAAAAATGGGATCATGCCCTGTCTGTTTTCATGCACCATGCTTTTCTACTTTAGTACTCCTTAACGAAGTCCTCTAGGTCCACCAATATTCATCACACCCATTCTTTAATAGCTGCACAATGATCTGTCATATGCATTGTGTCAAGGGTCTTTAAGACCACTTACAGGTTTAATGATTTGCTGGTACTCAGAATACAATCATACTACTTACGACCATGGTTTATTACAATGAAAGAACACATAGCCAAATCTGCAAAAGGAAAGGACAGGGATGAAGTCCAGAGGGAACCAGAGCTGAGCTTCAAACAGTTCTCTCTCTATGGAGTCACAAAAGAATGTGCTTGGTTCCTCCRGCATGCGCTATAACAGCACACAGGCAGTGTGGACTGCCAGGGACATTCATTACGGACTCAGTGCCCAAGACTTATGTTATTGAAGGCTAGTCATCGGAGCACCCTCTATATAGCATGTGCCAAGATTCCATGCTCTAGAGGGAAAACAGATGTTCAGCATAAACCACATCATTGTATAAAACAGCAGAAGCCCAGTGAGCCACCTTTTCAGTGAGGGAACTGTGGGAATGATCTCCAAATACAAGTGCCCCAGGAATTGTTGCAGGCCAAAGGTCAATCTTGCAAGCAGGCTTTTTAAGGGATAGCATTCCTAGGGATGGCCTGCCATGGTATCTGTCCTGTCCAGTTTCAGCCATCCATCCTTATTGAACTTTTGAGAAAAATGAGATGTCCTGATCAGATAGCATGGAACCCTTGAGTTACAATTGTCCATTGCTGCATTTTTGCTTGATAGTGGAGCCTTGTTTGAACCAGAACATGGATTGAGCATGAGCACTGATATTGCCATTTTCCAATTTCTCTGCAGTGTGTGAAGGCTTTGGTCTACTACGATGTGCAGGCGTGCAGACTGGATATTGGTAATGAGAAAGGAGACACACCCCTACACATAGCTGCACGTTGGGGTTACCAGGGCATCATAGAGACGTTGCTACAGAATGGAGCACCCACAGAGATCCAGAACAGACTGAAAGAAACACCGCTCAAATGCGCACTAAACTCTAAGGTAGCTCTTTTCATCTCTTGGCAGCAGTGTGACTGTAGAAAATCAATGTCCATAGATTGGCCTTGCTGGACAAATGTGCATTAATGCCTGAGGAAGAACTTGGCCCTCATGCTCCCCGCTACATTTGGGGCCTCATTGTTAATAGGTTTTACTTATTTATATTGTTTCCAGTTTCACTGCAGTTTTTAGGAGCCACTCCCAGCAGAGTTGGCCCCGTGCTCTGAGTGCTTTGGGCTCACCAGCAAGTGGATTGGGTGAAAAAAGGGACAATGGCTCTGGATGAGAAAAGCAGGGACAGAGAATTGGGAGAGTGAACACAGTGTCTAAACCCTGTTTTCCATCATAGCAGCTTCTAGAAACTTTAGTCGTGTAGTTGATTTGTAATAACTCACTCCCCCTTTTCCTGGCAATATCTTCTGGAAACATGGTTTTGGCATCCTGTGGTGAAGTATTCTCCATTCATGATGAGTGGGGAAGAGGGTGGCTCACAGAGACCAGTGCCTAGTGTCTCTGCCTCTCTGCGCAGCCCTGGTGGGCAGGATGCCTAAGAGAAACAGGTTGGAGAGTTCACCAGAGAAAACAGCAGCCATGTGAGGTGGAGCCCTCTGGGGTGCCCAGAATATCAGTGAATCATGGCTCACACAAGTGATTCCATTTTATTGGAGTGATCCAGTCATCGCCCTCACTCAGACCCAACTTCCTGCCATTGGATGTTTAACTTGCTCCCTTTGGTGGTTTCCAGTTCTTTCCCAGGGAATTCTTTTAGCTGTTAACTTCTTATTAATAGACAGTTTTTGTCTATTTTGAAACCACTTTATTGATATATGATTGATACGCAAAAGGTTGTACACATTTCAGACATAATAGCCGGTGGATTTGGAGATAAGCATTCATCTTCACTGATAAATGAGACAGACCATCACTATGATCTGTGCTGTAAATGCAGCCATCACGAGCAGGAGTCTATTACTTATTATTGCTTTTGTGTGCCGTAAGAGCACTTAGCCTAAGGTCTGTGGTAGCACTGGTTTTGAAGGGTTAAGTTCCTGCCCCTGGCTTCAGGGGATGTTGGCTGTACTGCCCCCCAAATTCACAGTGTCTCAGCTTTGCAAATAACTAAGGTGCCACCCTTGGACTGATGTGCTGGGAAATCTCAGCACATMACAAGGGTGATTCTCCTGCCACTGTGGCTTCTACCCAAGGCCCTTCTGCAAGGAGAGCTATAGAGGAAAGAGAAGCTGCCCTGTTAACTCAGCTCTGAGCTTCCCCAACTTGAGACTTGTGGGTTCTGGTGGGATGGTCACACTCAGTGGACAAACCAGCCAGGGTCCAGATAAGAGAGCCTTTGAAGCTCTTCATAGGAAGCACTGACACCCCATTGGACAGGAGGAGCATCATATGCTGGGAGGAAGCCCCTCGCTGTCCATGTGATCCTGAATACATTCCTGTCTGCTTCAGGTCTTGGTTTTTTCGCCTGAGCAGGTGTGGCTGGGCTGCAGGACCTATATCTCCTGCTGTGCTGACATCCCAAGTGGACAGACGAGTGGGTGATGGTGCTTTGTTGTAGCCTGTCTCATTCAGGGCTTTTAATATCCTTTTTATCTTCCTAGATTSTGTCTGTGATGGAAACCCATCATCTGTCTTTGGAAAGAAGGCCAAAGGAAAGAAGGTCTTCTGAGGTAAGTCAATAGAGCTTGTTGTATTGGAGCCCAGGGGCTTCTCCTCTRGTTCTCAAGTGTCTGTATCTCCAAGTTTCATCTCTCATCTGGGTTCTCTTACTGTAGGTCCCTGAACAGTCCCCTCAACGCTCTGTGGATTCCATCAGCCAAGGGTCCTCCACCTCCAGCTTCTCCTCCATGTCAGGGAGCTCCAGACAGGAGGAGACCAAGAAGGACTACAGAGAGGTGAGCCTTCCAGGCGGGAGGTCCGTGAAGAGGACCTAGTAGCCCTGATGAGAGCTGCYGTTCTGCCTGTTATTCATGCAGCTACTCACACAGCCACTCCTCCACTGAGGAGGTCAGTGCCCTCCAGTTGACCCTTGACCCAGCTGTATCTCACATTGCTCTTCACTTTTGCTGGTTCTTCCAGGATCCTCCCTGGAGCTCTTTGCTTGGTGGAGTGTGTGTTTGAGAGAAAGAGAGAGACAGACAGATACAGAGACAGAATATATCCTAAGAATACAAGTAAAGCTACCTATAGGCCCACTGGTTTCAGACCTCTTACAAAGTATGTTCTCTGCCCTCTCCCTCCATGCTGACCCCTCAGCACCCAGTTTAATGCCCTGATATGCCCAGTTCCTGGCTTCTTGATGAGTTTAGGTAAACATTGAGAAGTAGACACAAGTTGCATTTTGTAAGAGGTGATTTATAGCCTGAGGTCCCCCCCCCCCTTTTGTCTTAGAGTTGCTTCAGTGTCAGTCCAGTGGAGCTGTCTCATTGTTTAACTGAGGAGTGGACCATTGTATGGTTCTTGCTCAGCTCCTTTGATGATCCACTGATAGCCCTAGTGCTCCCGGCAACCCCAAATTGTGATCTACTCTCAGAAGGTCCAGCAAGCTTAGCTCCAGGAGCCACAGCAAAGAGCACAAGAGACATAGTCCACAGTCTAACAGGCCTGATGTTGTCCTCAGGAAGGGGTGTTCACCCTTGTGGCACCCTCAGGTAGGAGCTCACGAGAGCCCAGTGAGTATGGTTCTGAATCACAGGGTGGCTATCTTCCCAGGAGGTGACTGTCAGGGTCACCATGTCTCACCTTCCACATAATTAGCAGTTATACTGTATAAGTGGCAGTGACACGCACACCTTCCAGATCCTTCTGAGCAGCTTTAGGGTTTGTCAGAAAGGTAATAAATGATCCACTTTAACACCACAAGCTAAGACAAATGAAGGTCACTAAACTTTCAGATGTCTATTATTTCTGTTATTATTTTGTTATTAAAATCATTTTCCTAACATTCTTTTTCCTTTTATTAAGGTAGAAAAACTTTTAAGAGCAGTTGCTGATGGAGATCTAGAAATGGTGAGTTTTTGGAAGAGCATTTAAAAAAATATTTTTTAGTTGTAGTTGGACACAATACCTTTATTTCATTTATTTATTTTTATGTGGAGGATCGAACCCAGGGCCTCACACGTGCTGGGTGACTGCTCTGCTGCTGAGCCACAACCCCAGCCCTGGAAGAGCATTTTAAAAGCTCGCTCTCAGTTTAAAGAGGCTATACCTGCGTTTCTTGTTGCTAGTCCAGTCTGAAGCCGCGTGGCTTCTTTGTTCAGCTCCACAGAGAAGGTGGCACATTGAGTGCATGTTTGGTAATGGTGAGGTCGTCGTGTTTTCCAGACAAGTAAGGCAGTGCGTTGTGAATGTGTCTCCTGCCTTGTGGATGTTCCTATTCTAGGAATGTGACGAGGTGTTGGGAAGAAGACCAGCCATGCTCAATGGCATAGAGTGTGGGCTCAGAGCCCAGGCCTTCTGGCCAGGGAGCAAGGTGGGCTGCCTGGTTGAAAGAGTGCAGAGTTGTGGGGAGGGGTAGAGGTGGCAGAGGCCAAGGCCAGGCCAGAGGTGTGATGTGCCAGATAGCATTGTGGACAGCTCCAACTCTTGGGCCAGGAGGCTGAGGTCTGAGGCATGGGCCTTCGAGGAGTCAGAATCAGGGGTCTGGACAAGATGCTGCTGGCTGCTCTGGGTCTGTGGCTGGTGAGGAGTTCATGGCTTGAGAGAAGGACCTGTTCTAAGCATCACTGTCAGGAGAGGGAACACTCTTGATGGGATCAGTGGAGACAGCCTTTGTGAGATTCCCAGGGTGGTTTCCCTGGCTTCCTTTGGCTTCCTGAAAGGGATATATCTTCCACTTTGGAGGAATAAATCAGGTGTTTAAAAAAAGAGCAGCTGGAATATGTCATCTTCTAAGAGACCAGTGTGGTGATGTGTGTTTTTCACTAATGCTTGAGTTTAAGATGGTGAACAGAAATTGCTAAGGCCTGATTCTTATAGCCTTTGGGAGGCAATTTATGGTTATCAGAATATTAGCCTTTGCCTGGTGGCCTCTGTCAGTTCATCAAAATCAAAATGATATGCAGATCCTCTCTGGGGACAGGGGTGTCTGTGTCTGGCCCATGATGCTGGGTAGCTCCATTCATGAGATCAGTCCCAGAAGAACTCAACATTCTTTGCAGAAGCAAAGGAGGATGTCTGTAGGTACTCTAAGAGCCAGGGTGTGAGCCAGTGGCCCAGCCTGTGTAGAAGTGCTAACACTATCYCACATGATTACATTATCTGTTCTGTTTCCTACTGTGGCGAGTGGGGCGGGCCACTTATGAAGCAGATGAACAGAGACAACTGCCCATTTGTCTGAGTCACCRTTCACATGCCATCACATCCCAAGTCCCTCTCAAGGCCACCTGCCTCCAAGGTTTGCACCCCGATCTTGTTCCCTTTTTACTGAGAGAGACTGCCTGAGAATTTTACCCTCTAGTCTATTAGCTGCAGCCCCTGCATAGATGCCTTCGTGTTTCCACTGCAGAGTTGTCAGGGATGTGGAAAGGACCTGGAAGACACAAGGTTTGGCGTTAATGGGGTCTTTCTGGAAATGGTCCCTCCTTGAAGGCATGTGCTAATTTCTTGGCACCTAAATCAGGACCTAGAAGTGCATTTATATTGCTTCCTTTCCCCAAATTTAACATCCTAGAAACCAGTCTTTACATAAATTTGAACTGTTTGGGGTGGGGTCTTCGCAATGCTGTCACCTGTGAGCTAGTACACAACGGTGGGAAGAACACTTTAGTGGAGTCAGGGGCCTATGTGTGGGTGCCACCACCACTCTCTAGTTTTGGGCTCTGGAATGTGTTATTAACCTTTTCGGCCTGAGTTTTGTCAGATTTGAAGGGAAGACTCTGGAGCTGCCTCATGGGTTGTTGAAAGCACATAGTTAGCACAGGAGGATGCACTTTCTCAGTGCAGGTTTGAAATCCCTCACCCCAATGCAGCACCAGTCTGTCCCTCAAAGAGAGAAGAAAGACTTTAACATGAGCTGTGAAAGGTCCCCCACCCTCGTTGGAAGRAGGTGGAACAGCCTGAGCACAGGTGACACAGGGAGTCTGCATTAGGGAGAAGAAGCCATTTATAAATTAATTTGGTGGCTGAGGAAGGAAGTGTAGGCCCTGTCTTGGGAACAGTTCAGCGTGTGTGATGTGCATGTGAGATACATAGCTTGCACAGGCGCCAAGGATAACTTTAGTTCCTCTTTCTCCCAACACCAGGTGCGTTACCTTTTGGAGTGGACAGAAGAGGACCTGGAAGAGGTGGATGATGCTATTGGTGCAGCAGATCATGAATTCTGTCATCCCTTGTGTCAGTGCCCCAAATGTGCTCCTGCTCAGAAGGTTTGGCTTTGCCTCTGTTGGGGGAGGGGGACTGGCATATTCTTCTCTCTTTCCTTAGGAGAATTCTCTGCTTCCTAGCCAGATAATTACTGAGTGACTATTAAAAGGCACCCCCTGAGATATGTGGGGGTGGGGGTGGGGGTTAATTTGCTGAGAGTGGAGAGAAACTAACCCTGTGCAAGACCCGGCTTGGGTGGCCTGCTTCCTGAATGGGCAGGTGAGCCAGCAGGGCGGCGTCCATGTGCTCAGTGTTTCTGGTGCTTGCTGGCCCCTAAGCCGCGTGGCAGTCATGAACAGACATGCCCGAGGGTCTCTGTCTGCACTGGAGCTCCCTGGGGAGGCTACGAGTTGTTTCTTTGCTGCCTTTGCTCATGTTGGTTTGCACTTGGAGGGGACCAGCCTCCAAGTACAGAGAGTTTCCTCTACCCTTTGCCCAGTTTCCCCCAATGGTAACAACTTATTTATTTTTTTACACAATACCTTCACTTATTTTTATGTGGTGCGAGGATCAAACCCAGTGCCTCATGCGTGCTAGGCAAGTGCTCTACCACTGAGCCACAACTCCAGTCCCCAGTGGTAGCATCTTGCAAAACTACAGTAAAAAATAAAACCTCAGCCAGCATATTGACGTTGATGGAATCTATTGCTCTTAATTGAGGTTTCTCCAGTTTCACTTTGCCCGTCTGTGTGCATGTATTTAGTTCTGTGAGGTTTTATCACCTGCAGGTTTGTCTGTCCTCCAACACATTCAAGCTGAGAACAGTTTTCTCACCACAAGAAGAATCACTCTTGCTGGCCTTTCGTTATCCCTCTCCTTGCCACCCCATTCCCACTTTCCCTAACCCCTGGCAATGAGTCCTCCCAGCAGCTCCGGAGCCTGAGGCAGGAGGGTCCATTGAACCCAGGAGTTTGAGACCATCCTAGGCAATATAGCTAGACCTCATGGGGAAGAGAGAAAGGGAGAGGAGCAAAGGGGAAAGGGAAGTGAAGGAAGAAAGATCACGCAGAGGTAATCACAAGGTACCTAAGCTTTGAGGATTGGCTTGGCTCACTCAACATGATCCCAACAGGCTTTTGTGAGGATGTTTCCATTTCTCTAGGATCAATACCCAAGAGCGCAGTTGCCAAGCATATGGCATGTACGGTAAATCCATGGTTAGTTTCACAAGGAACTGATAGACTTCTCCAGAGTGGCTTTACCATCACACTTTCCCACCAGCAGTGTGTTCAAGTTCACCACATCCTCACCAGAATTTGGAGTTGTCACCATTTTTATTTTAGCCATTCTGACAGGAGTGTAGTTCTCCCTCATCATGGTTTAATATGCGTTTCCCTGGTGGATGATGATGTCAAACATCATCTTCCGTGTGCCTTTTTGAGCATCTTTTCACGCATTTCAGTGAAATGTCTGTTCATTTCTTTTGCACATTTTTAAATGTTTTTTTTTTTTGAGTTTTGAGAGTTATTTATATCTTCTAGATACTTGCTCTTTGTCAGATATATGGTCTGCAAATTTTTTCAGTCAGTATTTTTTGGATTTTTTTTTTTTTTAGTTGTGGATGGACATAATACCTTTATTTTATTTATTTATATGTGGTGCTGAGGATTGAGCCCAGGGCCTCACACATGCTAAGCAAGTGTTCTACCACTGAGCCACACCCCAGCCCCTCAGTCAGCATTTTAATCTGAAAAATGTTCACATGGCCTCTAGCAGAGCAAAATTTTTAATTTAGAAGTTCAGTTTGTCAAGTTTTCCTTTTCTGGATTATGCTTTGGGTGTCAAGTCTTGAGATCTCTTTACTTAACCTTAGATTTCAAAGACTTTTTTTCTTTTTTTAAGTTATAATTTTAGATTTTATAGTTAATTCCTGGACCCAGTGTGAGTTAATTTTCATGCAATGATTGAGATCAGATTGGAGATTTTGTTTACTTGTTGTTTTGCCGGGTTGACTTGCTCTGGCACCATTTGCTGGAAAGGCTACCCCTCTTCCATTAACCTGCTTCTGCACCTCAGCTGACTACGTATGGTGTGGGTCTACTTCTGGATTTGCTGTTCTGTTCTGTTCTGTGCCCCTCTCCCACTCCTGCATTGACTTGATTTCTGTTGCTCTGTAGAAAGCCTGAGTATTGGGTGGAGTGATTCCTCCTACCTAGGACTTGCTTAGCCAGGATTGTTATAGCTATTCCAGGGCCTGTGCTTTCCCAGGTTCATTTTTAAATAAGCTTGTCAATGTCTATGGAAAAAAAAACTTGCTGGGGTTTTGATAAGAATTACATGAAACCTATGAATTGGTTTGGGGAGAAATAATATCTTTACAATGCTGAGTCTTCAATGAACATGATCCATTTCTTCCAGTACCTTCTTTCATCAACATTCTGTGATGTTTAGCATGCAAATCCTTTTATTTTGAGCAGTCGTGAACGGTATCATGTACACAGTATGTGCTCATGTTGAAGCTACTTAAACATAAATGTCCCATACTAAGAAAATTAATTTGCCTTTACAGAACAGATTAGTGTTATCCTTTATATTGCAAGATAGAGTAATAGTACTATCTTAAGAATATTGAAAGTGACTACCTTTTATCATCCACATACAGCTTTTTTAGCTGCAGTRTAAGATAGACATGGGTAAAATATAAATTAGATCTGTTCTCACGTTGCTGGATGTGTACTGTACAAAACCCAGTTTCCCTAGGTGGGCTGTTGAGGAAAACCTGGGGATTAAAAAGGCAGATGATGTTTCCGAGGATCTGATGGATGCACGAAGCTGAAGCCCTGGCAAGTCTGAGTCTGGGTGGTCCAGGTCACTTCCTGCATCCTGCTGCTGTGTGTCTGTCACTTTCCTGCTCCTGTGTGCTTCCCCTCCTTACGATTCACATAAGTTGTAGTAAGAAATCAAAATCCACATTAAAATACCACTAGAATTTATTGGATAAAGTCTTATACTCCTTGCTGTTTTGAAACCCCTCATCTTCTTTTCATCCTCTTTTCTTTTTGTAATCTCTCAAAAAGACACGGCACGAAATTGCTTCATGTCTGAATTAAATCAACATCCCTCCCCCAACCATCATCCTCTTCTAGCCCAGTGATGTGTGTCGGATTTGTTTTTGTTTTTTTTCTTTTTCTTTTTTAATTCTTCTCTGAGCTGTAACTTAGATACAATAAAGCATACCCTTGTAAATATTCAGCTTGCTGAGTTGTCACAGGCCTGCTGCGCTGGGAGACCATTCCATCACCTGGTGTCTGTCCCCCCTGGCGTTGCCTCCTGYCACCTCACAGTCCTTCCCTGCTGCCCTACTCCTCTGTCCCAGGCAACATCCATCTATTTTCCATCATTAAGAGATTAGTTTGCATTTTCTAGAATTTTATGTGGTCAACAGTAAGATACAGGTTGGACATCCCATATCTGAAATGCTTGGGACCAGAAGTTTTTCAGACTTCAAGAGTTTTCTGAATTTTGGAATATTTGCATAGACTTTAAAGGTTGAGTAAACCTAATCAAACTTTCAGATTAAGGATGCTCAACCTGAATCACTCTTTTGTGTCTGTGTTCTTTCACTCGTGATACTTGTATATTTGTTTATTATAGAGATTGAATCTCACTATGTTGTCCAGGTTGGTATTGGATTTATAGGATCCAGTGAACCTCCTTCCTCAGTCTCAGTTCTAGTCTCTCCACATCCTTGTCAACACTTGGTATATTGACCTTTTAACTTTAGCCATTCTGGTAAGGGTGCCATTGCTGACAAGTGTAGGTGTGTCAGCCAGCAGGGTGGGATGGGGCCCTTACCTGTAGCAGTAGTGCTGTGGCTTACTGATGGTGTGAGGAGTGTGCTTCCACACACATATATATTTTTTAAATATGCTAGGGTATTTCATTTTATGTGCATGTGTTTTCTTCTTCATTTTTTTTWAATTATTTATTTTTGAGACAGGGGTCTTAATATGTTGCCCAGGCTGGTCCCAAAATATAGGCATGTGCCCCCATCCCTGGATTTGTTTTTTATTTTTTAGGAATAATTTACATATAATAAAATTCAGCCTTTAATACACAGGCTGGGTGTGGTAGTGCATGTTCATGACACAGTGGCACAGGAGGATCACAAGCTCAAAGCCAGCCTCAGCAACTTAGCAAGTCCCTAAGCAACTTACAGAGACCCTATCTCTAAATAAAATATAAAAAGGGCTGGGGATGTGGCTTAGTGCCCCTGGGTTCAATCTGTGGTACCAATAATAATAATACTAATAACAATAATGATAATTTACAACCTAATGTTTGTTTTTAGTGGTATGGTCTAGACAGCAGTGTTTGCCCCCCTTTTGATTGATCTTTTATCAGCATGATTGATTTAAAAACCACTAGCAGTAATATGGAGGATTCATGATAAAAATGAAGGTGGAGAATGGAGATAAGTAATGAGCAGTTCCATGAGGTTAAACAAACCCACCACAATTAAGATATAGAATATCTTCCACCCCCAAATACTCYCCTGCCCCACTGTAGCCGGCTTCCTTCCCCTGATCCCCTGGAGGCTGTAGTCTGTTTCCCCACCTTTCGGTTTGTCGTTCCTGAGTCTGATGTGCATTTTCCCAGTAACTGGTGATGTTAAACATCTTTTCATGTTCTCACTGACCATTCATTTACCTATCTTATTTTATTTTAGGTCTGTTCAATCCTTTTGCCTAACTTTTTAAAGTTGAATTGTCTTCTGTTGTAAAATACTTAATTTTTTTAAATGATTAATTCTGGTTGACCTAAGTCCTGTGAGATATATGTATTGCACACATTTTCTCCCGTTCTGCAGTTTGCCTTTTCATCTCAATCATATCTTTCAAAGAGCAAACATTTAAAGTTTTTGTTAAGTCCAGTTTAATCTAACATTAATTTTTTTTGTGTGTATCGTATCTAAGAAATCTTTTTCTATGCCATTGTTGCAAAGAATTTTTTCTTTGCTCTCTTTAAGAAGCTTTATAGTTGTAGCTTTTACGTGTCTGACTATGATGCCTTTTTAATTTTTGTGCTTGCAGTAAGGTAGGGTTGATGTGCAGCATTTCCATATATGGGTATCCAGTTATCCTAGCACCATTTGACTGGCATAAAGGGATATCATTTTAGGGGCTTTGCTTTACTAAAAATAGAGGTTATTCTTGTGGTCTTATTACTTTCTAAAGAAATAAGAATTCACTTGTGGGCATTGTGATTCCAGATGCCACTGTGATCCCAAATTTTGCATAGGAGCTGTGTGTGTCAGGGACAAGTGATAATCATTCCTTCAGCCCAATTTCTTAAGTACTGATGATGTTTCTGTTTCTGTTTCTGTCTTCTGCATTTACTAGAAGCTGGCAAGGATTCCTACCAATGGGCTTGGCGTGAATGTGACTAACCTGGATGGCTCTTCCCCACTGCATGTTGCTGCCCTGCATGGTCGAGTGGACCTCATCCCCCTCCTGTTGAAGCATGGTGCCAACGCAGGTGCCAGAAATGCAAACCAAGCCGTCCCCCTCCACCTGGCCTGCCAGAAGGGCCACTTTCAGGTCTGGGCTTTGTCTTTTGGGTATTGTAGCAGGTGCTAGCTTTGGTAGCAGGAACTTACTTGGGGGAAATGTGCAGAGGGGAAAGGTCTTGGGGTCTAGCCCAGAGGACATTTGCATTTCTTTCCTCCCACCCTGAAATTCTGAAGTACACAGGGCAGGAGCACTTGGCAGCAGAACACAGAACTCTGGTGCTCCCTGGGAGTGGAGCCAGACCTCTGCCCATTGCCATTTACATCTGTATGACCCAGAGCTGTCATTCTGATTCTGATCCCAGCAAGAGTTGTCTCCTACACTTGTGTCTTGATCATCTCTCCACCTGTAGGTCTGTGCCAAACAGTTTTGTACTTTATGAAGTACAGCCGTGGCCCTGTAGGAGGCGGTCCAAGAGAGAATTTTGGAACAGTTTGTGTTTTTAAATTACTATTTTTCTTATAGAAATTATCTATGTGTATATTTTTTCTTTTTCCTTTATCAGTTCCACTGTAAACTCTTTAAAGACAAGGACCGTGTCTCAGGTCTTCCTCTCTATCCTGAACACTCAGCAGTGTGCTTTCAGCATCAGCTTCCTAATCTGTAATATCTGAGTCATAATTCCACCTCTCCATAGGGTAGATGTAAAGATTAAACCAGAACAGTAGTGCTCAGTGCAGTGCCTGGCCCAGAGCAGACCCTCAGCAGATGGTACTTCCCTGCCTCCAGCTGGTCTGCTTTCCCTGGGGTCAGACATATGTCTCAAGAGCCTTCTCAGTAAGCAGAGAGAAATCAGTTTCAAATTAGAGATTTCTTTTTGCACATTTTAACTGAGGTTGAATTTTTTTCTTCTCTGAGCTAGGTGGTGAAGTATCTATTAGATTCTAATGTGAAACCCAATAAAAAGGATATAAGTGGAAACACACCCCTCATTTATGCCTGCTCCAGTGGCCATCATGAAGTCGCAGCACTGTTGCTACAGGTAAGGCCCCTCCCAGCTCCAGCAGGCCTTTTCCCCATTCTCTGAGCTGGTCCACCTGTTAGTCACAGGCCTCCAGAAGAGGAGCTCTGCACCACATTTCCACAGTGGTTCTGTGTGGAAGGGAGCTGGTGCTGTGTCAGGGAGGCAGTGCTTAGGACCTGGGTTCTGCTTTTGCTGGCGGTGTAGGCCTGACCTCACCTACCGTGGGTAAGTTGAGTTGTTACCCTGGAGTGTGAGCCCAGTGGCCCTCTGGGTCACAGAGGCAGGAAAAACCCACCTTGTTCATAGTCCACTTTGGTGGACTTTTAAAAATGTGTGTAGTGTTAGATCAGTGTTGTTTTCTCTTTAATGTAGAATGATCGTTGATTAAGCCAGGTACAGTGATGTATCCCAGCAGCTTGGGAGGCCAAGGCAGGAGGATCACAAGTTCAAAGCCAGCCTTAGCAACTTAGTGAAGCCCTAAGTAACTTGTGAGACCCTGTCTCAAAATAAAACATAAAAAGGGCTGAGGATGTGGCTCAGTAGTTAAACATCCCTAGGTTCAATCCCTGGAACCAAAAACAAAAAACAAAACAAAAAACCCAAAAAACAAAACCAATAACAACACTATTTTTAATGGTCAAGTAAGTATGGATTTATCCTAGTGTTTTCTTTAATGTTTCTTATTTGTTTAAATTTAATCTGTTTTTTTCCCAGCTATAGTGATAAGTGCTGCAATAAATACCTTTGTTCATAAGTCCTTTCTTAGTGTTACTTTTTTAAAATATTTTTTTAGTTGTTGATAGACTTTTATTTTATTTATTTATATGTGGTGCTGAAAATTGAACCCAGTGCCTCACACATGCCAGGCAAGTTCGCTACCCCTGAGCCACAGCCCAGCCCCTCTTACTGTTACTTTTATCCCCAACATTTTAAGAAAAATATCAGACATAGAAGTTGAAAGACTTTTATAGTGTATACCCATGTGCCTACCCTGTAGATTCTGCCTTGAAGATTTTTTAGCATTCCTAATATTGTGCTGTTTCTCCTTCTAGCACGGGGCTTCCATTAACGCTACTAACAATAAGGGCAATACAGCTCTGCATGAGGCTGTGATAGAAAAGCATGTCTTCGTGGTGGAGCTGCTTCTGCTTCATGGAGCATCAGTTCACATCTTGAACAAGAGGCAGTGCACGGCCATAGACTGTGCTGAGCAGGTGAGTACAGACAGTGTTGGAGCTAGGAGTTCAGGCTCCCACACAGCCCTCTGTGGATTTCTCCCAGATCTGATCCTTGGGTCCCGGGCCAAGTCCACCTGTGTGGCTAGATAACTGGTTCTTGACACCTGGTTAAAGGTGGCAGGCTCAGGGAGCCAGGAATCATTCTTTCAGGGGTAGCTTCCAAAGGTCTGTGGTGAGGTACCCCAGTTAGCACCCTGATCTGACATACTTAATGGGCGATCAAGTACCAAAGGGAAATAGCAAGTTCAGACACCATTCTGGATTCACCATCCTTGCAGCATGATTGAGAAAGCTAGTTTTGTTTGTGGATTTAAAACTACTTGCCTGTATTCTCCACTACTGGGAGGGAGGAGGATGCCAAGTTCAAGTCCAGCCTGGGCAACCTAGCGAGACCCTGTCTCAAAACACATACGTACAGGGGCTGGGGATGTGGCTCAAGCGGTAACATGCTTGCCTGGCATGCGCGGGGCGCTGGGTTCGATCCTCAGCACCACATAAAAAAATAAAAAATGAAGATGTTGTATCCACCGAAAACTGAAAAATAAATATTAAAAAAATAAAAAGTTTTTTAAAAAACCACATACATACATAAATAAAAGGACTGAGGGGATGTAGCTCAGTGGCAGAGTGCTTGCCTAGCATGTGCAAGGCCCTGGGTTCAATCCCCAGTTCTACAGAACAAAACTAAACCTGTGGAGTTCTGTGAGGGGAGTCCCCACAGGTCCCCACCCTCTCCAGTGCTGTGGGGAATTGGTGAGGAAAAGTCCTTTCCTCCTGGGAGAAGGGAGCTCTTTCCAGCTCATGTCTTCATGGTGAATCTTCGTCTGATTTTCTAGTCAGCGTGGGAAAGGACAGCTAGTAGGCTATTAAATGACCCCACCGAGATGTTAAAGTTACCAAAATCCAGCCTAATCATAGGTTTATTATATTCATTTGAGTTTTCAGTGACTTTCCTTTAACTTTGATGTTGTCTTCATCTGGAGATGAAGTGTGGTTTAAGGAGATGTGCATGGCTGGCAAGGGGTGGGCCTGTGGGTAACAATTTTAGGTGTTAGCCGATGAAGCAGTGTTTCTGGGTGTATCTGTGAGCTTGATATTTCCTAAGGGAACTGAAGTATTTTAAACTCCAGTACTTAGTCTAAGGACAATGATGGTGACGGTTTTATTGAGTCCTTATTGCGTGGTGGCCCCTAGATAACCTTCCCTGACCACACAACAATGGAGCCTATTATTGCCACCCAGTTGCATGGAGTGGTTAGACACCCAGCCCATGGAACTGGTAGAGGGCAGTCAGGTTCCAGATACAGGTTTTTCTTTTTCTTTTTTCCTTTTTCTTTTGTGTGTGCTGTGTGAGTACTCTACCGCTGAGCTAACCCCCAGCACACAGGCTGCTCTTGCCACTAGGTTTTATGGCCTCAGAGTTTTGTTTGTAGTTGTTTTTCAGGTTTCTTTTGGTACAGTCACAGCTATACCAACAGATCAATAATATGCTAATGAAGAATTAAAGTTACTGTTACCTTTCCCTTGAAATTGTAGAATTCGAAAATAATGGAGTTACTTCAAGTAGTACCAAGTTGTGTTGCCTCATTAGATGATGTTGCTGAAATAGATCACAAGGAGTATGTGACCGTTAAGATCAGGAAAAAATGTAAGTGCTTACTTTCTTTCTATAGCTCTCAACTTAGGTTTATTTGCAATTTCATGGATAGTGGATGGTTTTCATTTAATTGTAAATGTAAAATGTCATAGTTATGACTGAGAGGGATACACAGAAATGTATGTTACATTTGAATTTCTCAAATGAGGGTAAGTTTTTTTTTTTTTTTTTAAATACTAGTTTTCTGGTTGATTATGTTTCCTGAGGAAATCAGACATTCCCAGCATTACCTCATTTCCTGAAGATTTAGGCCTCAACTTACCCCCTGGAGAGGAGTAACCTCTTGTAGATTGTTATGCCTCATATTCCAAAGCCACATGTTCTCTGGTGCATTTCCTAGACTTCCAGAGTGAATGCATCTTTTTGTCTCCCCCCCCCCCCAATCCTGGGGCTGAAGCCCCAGGACCGCTATACCACTGAACTTCATCCCTGCCCCCAACTTTTAAAAAAGTACAGGTGTATGGAGGTTGATGGTAATTAGAATAGCAGTTACCAAATAGCTGTGGAAATATTTTCTCCTTTGTTAAAAGTTTAAAGGGGTCCTTGTTCTGTTATCTTTAAGAAGTCCATGTATTTGTAGTGCAATAATGTAAATAACTCCACTTACATATCTGGATAATTCTTTTTTTGTTTTTTTTTTTTGGGGGGGGGTGGGTACTGGGGATTGAACTCAGGGGGCACTTGAAGACTGAGCCAAATCCCCAGCCCTATTTTGTATGTTTATTTAGAGACAGGGTCTTACTGAATTGCTTATTAGCACCTYGATTTTGCTGAGGCTGGCTTTGAACTTGCAGTCCTCCTACCTCAACCTCCTGAGCTGCTGGGATTACAGGCATGCACCACCATGTACATATCTGGATAATTCTGAGGCTACCTCAGCATAATTGATTTTAATGGGGGAGTATCAGTGTATGAAGGATTTATCCTTGTTTTACAAAGGTTCCCATAGTAATAAATAGGTATTTGCTACTCTAGTTAAGCAAAGTCAATGCTTAATTTTCTAAATTTTGTTAAACTAAGAAATTAGAAAGTTTGAGTCTGTGCTGTAATTTTAATATAACTATTTTTTAAGTTTTCAGTTATTTATTCTTTTACCTACAGGGAACTCAAAAATGTACGATCTACCAGATGAACCTTTTACAAGACAGTTTTACTTTGTTCACTCAGGTGGTCAGTTTAGGTGAGTATAAAAATCAAGTTGATTTCTGTACCTTGGCCCCCAAATATATTTAGAACAGAAGCAACATATGAACAGCTTTAATTACCTGTGGATGAATTCTCAGTAATAATGTCATCCAATGCTGCCATCTTGTGGCCAGAGTGTTTCACACCACTATTCCAAATATTTATTTTATATTTTGGGTTTCAGGGGGAAGACTTCTAGGGAGATTATGGCAAGAGATAGAAGTGTCCCTAATTTTACTGAAGGTTCTTTGCATGAGGTGAGTTATTAAACACTGGCTTATAATCCTACTTTTTTAATATTTATTTTTTAGTTGGACACAATATCTTTATTTATTTATTTTTATGTGGTGCTGAGGATTGAACCCAGGGCCTCACATGTGGTATGTGAGCGCTCTACCGCTGAGCCACAACCCCAGCCCCAATATATTCCTACTTTTAAAAACCTGACTTTTTCAAAAGTGGTCCACAGGAAACACATTTCTCCATGATAGTCAATTTCATTTAATGGTAGTCTTCATTGTAAGAGTTAACAGCAATTAAGACTGCAGTACTTTAGTGGGACAGTCAAGAGTATGGACTTCATTGATAAATTTTAAAATACATTTCTGAGCAGAGAAAGGAGAGTGGTGAAAGGTGGGAAGCAGTAGTAAGCCTGGGAAGCTGCGGTTTCAGTGTGTACAGTAGTTCTCTCCCCTGCACCATTTAAAAAGTTTGTCATAAAATGAAGCCTGCTTTACAATCTGTGCTATTTTTTCCTAAGGCATAGACAGTTGATTATTTAGGAAAATAGATACACATTTAAGTAGGAAAGGGGGTTAATCCCAAGAGTGAGATGCCTGGTAAAGCAAGAATACACACTCAGGGGAGAATGCTTACTCTCTCCAGAGGGAGAGACAGCCCAATCTGTGCTCAAAAAAAAAAAAAAAAAATCAAGTTGATTTTTGTACCTTGACCCCCAAATGTATTTAGAACAGAAGTAACATATGAACAGCTTTAATTAACTTTGAACAAATTACCTATGATTCTTAGAAATATGACTTTTCTTATTGTTGAGAATTGATAGCATAGGCTTGTTGGAGCAAATATGTAAGTTTTAAATCATTTCTTTAGAACATTAAAGTGATTTCTTTTTTAACTTTTTTTTTTTTTTAGTTGTAGATGGACACAATATCTTTTATTTATTTATGTGGTGCTGAGGATCAAACACAGTGTCTCACATGTGCTAGGCGAGTGCTCTACCACTGAGCCACAACCCTAGCCCAAGAATATTAAAGTGATTTCTATTAACATAACTAATTTTTATTTCACACTTAATTTTCTGTAGCTTTGTTCCTTAGTGGGAAACCCACTAACTGAAATCTGCCTGAGTTCGATCAAGTGCTAGCTTCTCCCTTTCGGGACTTAGTTAGATGGCTTAACTGCTAGTTCTGTTTCCTCAGCTGTGGAGTGGGACTGCAGTATATATACTTAGAGTTACAAAGTGTGCAAACGTGTAAAGCACTTTCTCTGGGTGCTTTCTGTAGATACACTGTATAGGTAGTGAGCACGTGACACACTGTCATCACAGGGATGTTAGAATTGAAAATATGCTTGAGGAGTACTAAGCACATTGTCCCACAGTAGCCCACAGGGGTAGATGGATGTATATTTTGTCAGTTTTAGATGTGACTGAAACACTTAATTTGACCAATCAGATCAGATCATTATCCACCTACCTGACCAGGGCTGACTTAATACTGTAGGTGCAGTGCGGTCATGTGGTTTATAATACAGTGCAGACATAAACTGAATTGTACATTTTCTTTAGCCTGAAAGGCAAGGAATCACACGGRAACAGAATAACCTGCCAGACCAGAGCAGATCGCAGACTGCTAATGAAGGAAAGAATGACTGGCCTGAGGAGAGGCCTAGACAGAAGCAAACTGCTCCTGGAAACAGGAGAATGCTCCGCAGGCACACTGTCGAAGACCCAGTTGTTCCCAAGGGCCCAGAGACTGCCGACAACCTATCCCTGCCCCAAGGGGCTGGCGTTTCCCAGTCTTAACAGTAATAAGTCATTGTTAAGTTTCCTGCCAAGAAGTGAGTATGCAATAAGATGATGCTGAGCATGAATACAGCTTAGGACTGAGTATACTTTCAAACAACTGGCTTGAAAGACTCTTCAGCAGAAAGTTCCTGAAAGCTTTTCTGTGGCTGAGGGAATAAGTGCAACAAAAAATTTACCACCATCTCTCTCCTCTTCAAAGCTAATGAATACACTTGAAAGAAAATGGACAAAAATTTCAGTAGGGTCCAGCTCCTTAATTGGGATGTATGTTTCTAAGGATTTCCTGGTTATAGGGAGAGGTTTCACTGTCAGATTCTGATATTCCATGGAAAGGTGCTAAACCTCTGTGATGTGTATAAATCAGCAAGCCATAAGCTAAAATATCCTCCCTACCCACACTCCAGGATAATCTAAAGAGAAGCGATTTAGGTCACAGTAAGTTACTGTGGAGGCCATGCAGAAATGTCATATTGGAATGAAGAAATAGACCATGCAAAATGTTCCTTTGCAAAGCAACACTTGAACCAAAATATGCCTAAATGCCATTTTGATGTTCATTTTAGTAAAAAGGACATATCAGACCTGTTCTGCACTATATAGAAAAAGTTGGATATAATTTTTCTTCCAACAAAGTACAGATAATTGGTCACTGCACATATATGCCTGTCGCAGTGTTTCTAGAAACATCCCTTTCCGTTAAAAACCTCCCTTAAATGTCACACCTGATGGATGGTTATTAGAGAGTAGTTTTGGCACATCTTTTCTTAGTCTTTTGATTCAGATTCAGAACTTACAGCACAAACCAGGTCAAAGTTATTTTAAGTTAGAATTTATTGATTTTTATAAATTTCTATAGATTATACTGTTATTTTTTTATGTTATTGGTCTACAGCTTATAAACATGGGTTTGTCCTGAGTACATTTTCAAATAACTTTGTAATAGGGAAATGGTTTTGTGCATGTTCTTGGAAATTCTTGTGTGTATAGAAGGGAGGGGTTATTTTTCTACAAAGTAATTTATGATTTCTAATTTTCTAATGTGCCTTGGATATGTGCCAAATGATGGAAGAGAAACAGTAAACTTTATGATTCTTGAACGTGTCATGGTATTTTTTTTCCCCAATACTGGGGATTAACCCAGGGCCTCATGCATGCTAGGCAAGTTCTGTACCAAGCCATATCCCCAGTCCCGTGGTATGCTTTTTTAATGTTTTGTGATGGAGATTTGTTTCTCAGCCCCTCTAATAAACATATGCTTTGTGTGTGGAAAAATGGTCCCCCTTGGATGGATGTATATTTTGTCAGTTTTAGATGTGACTGAAACACTTAATTTGACCAATCAGATCAGATCATTATCCACCTACCTGACCAGGGCTGACTTAATGCTGTAGGTGCAGTGCTGAGGGACCACAAAAATGTTTTCTTTTAAAATCAAAATAATAAATACAATACAGCTTTCTAGTACAAACACAAATGAACACTGTTGCTTTACCAGTTTATTAGTTTTTCTTCTTTCCTTTTTTAACCAAAAGAACATTGTTAACTTAAATTGCGGTGGTCTTTTATCATCCTAATTAAGAAACTATGTCATATAATTTATTGGCATAGGCATTCTCAATTTGCATACATGTACATGTGCTAGTAACTAATTTTATGGATGGTGCAGTATAATTTTGAAAATGCTTTGATGTATAACCATTTTTTAAGAAATATTAAGTGAATTTACTCAAATGAAGGAAGTTTAATGATACAGAAATAAAATATTTAAAATAAAAATATAAAAGACATTAAAATAAAAATAAATCTGCATACAATAAAAAGTGAATATAAATTAGCTAACTCTATGGACATTTCCAGTTAAACATTCATACAAACGTATACTCACCTTTTTCTTTATAGAGATAACACATACGTACATGATGTGAAATTCTGACAAAAAAATCAGAACTTCTAACAACATTTTCAAGTTTTAAAAATAGTATGGAAAATGTTTCAACCATATTCTACAAGAGGTTATTATATCAGAATGAATCATGGTTGGTTTTAATTTTTAAGTTTTTTTTGGCACTGGGATTGAATCCAGGGGTACTTAATCACTGAGCTATATCTCCAGCCCTTTTTATTATTTGTTTTGAGACATGGCCTCCCCTAAGTTGCTGAGGCTGGCCTTAAATTTGTGATTATCCTGCCTCAGCCTCCCAAGTGGCTGGGATTGCAGGCATGTATCACCATGCCTGGCAGGTTTTTAATGTTTTTAAAAACAGATATTGGTATCATAAYACATTGGCTTATTAATAATTAAGGCATTTGTATACACAGTATCTCAGTATGGACAAAAACTTTTAACGTTATTTATATGACGTTTTAAACTTTGAAAGTCTATTCAACATTAATAGCTGCACACATACAAGTGGTTTTTATAAAACAATAAAAAATTAATGATAATTAGTCTTTGTAGTTCCTAGTAATAAGTCCTGTCTTATTTTTTCACATAGTATAAATTATATTCTCATGGAGGACTGCATTAGGACCCAGTAGTTCTTAAACAATGTTACCAGATAACCACATAAAGCCCAAATACAGCAAAGGCAAACAATCTTTGTAGTGCACTTTCATCTCATTGAAGTTGAAGCTGTTCGTTTTGGATACTTTTCCACTTCAATGTGAAGTAGATTGTTTCAAGGTTTTCRTTAGTGGTTTCATTATGTGGCTTTTTAAAATAAAAAAAAATGGTTTTAATTTCTTCCACACTTCCCAGTTCTCAGATCAATTTTTGGAAATCATATAGTTCAAGATGTTTTGAGTAACCAAATGCTCTTTAGTAGACAAAATCTCTCAATTCAACTATAATGTATAAGCATCTACATCCTTAGCTATAATACCACTGTATCCTGAAACCAAAGTAAGATGGTTTTCTTGTTCCTACAGGCCACTTAATTGTTTTTAAATCCTGAATATTTCCATCATTTATAATTTTTTGAGTGATAGTTCTGACCACCTTTTTATTACAGCTTGAAGTCAGAACTAACTATCACATATTCTTCAAATTTGCTTTTAAGTAATGACTTTACAAGAGGCAACAAGTCTACACAGCAGCCAAGTGAGATCTATTGTTTTTCTTTCTGTAAACCATTAATACAGGCAGGCAATCTGTCTCAACTCCAAGATCTTCTATCCTCCCCAAATAAGTTACAAGTTCACTTACACTTCTCCAGAAAGTTAAAGCTACACTCAATCTCAAATTCCTGCTGAACCAAACTTAGGACATTGTTTCATGATCCTGAGAAACCTCAGGAAAAAMCCCCACCGTATTTAGATGATGGATTCTTTGTGAAGAACCAGAATCACTGTGGAGTTAACCAAGTATCTTCAACTATCATGGCTATAATTTTTCATGCAGGTGGCCTGCACAAGCCAGTTCATTTTATTTGCCGTATCACAGCCCTCACTTATAGGGGACTATTTTTTTTCTGTAATAAGTATTTGGATAAAGATGTTTAACTTTTTTTTTTTTTTTTTTTTTTTTGGTGATGGATCACCTTTCAAAATTTATCTGGACTTCACAGCTTGTCCAACTGTTGTATTTATGTAAACAGCCAACTCTTCTGGAGATTTCTTAACCTCCTTCATATTCTTATTAGTGAATTTTTAGATCTGTTTTCTAGGATGATCAATGGAATGATCCTCAATATTACAAACGTTCCATTTTTTAACATTGTGAGTTTCAGATGCCATAATCTCTTCAACACGGGCGCCTCACCCCCGTGCTGGCGCTGGCAAACAGCCACTGGACAGCCTAGGCCAGGCCCCACTTGAGCCGCTGCGCTGCCTACCATAATAGCGCCCTCCTATGGGCGTCTCCTGATGCATAATCATTTAATTCTGTCTCACTGAATAGAATTGGCAAGCCAGGAAACAGGTTCAGAGAAACAAGGGTCTGATTTGCTTGAGATCTGAGGGTCAAGGTCAAATTGGCAGTGGCACCTGAATTGGCTGTTTCAAGTTTGGTGTGCCCTTCATCTGGAGAAAAAGTCCTGAATGAAACCATCAGCCTTTGGGGAGTTTCCTTTTGAGCTATTGCAGTAAAGTAATTAGAAGTAGGAGCCATTTCAATTGACTAGCTCATTACACCTCTGTTTTTCCACTTGTTTCCTAGCTTGAAAGAAAAAATAATTTTACAGTTCACAAATAAGTAAAGCCTGAATTTCTATTTCTGTGTAAGTTTTGAGTACAAAGGATTGCCAGCTCACTGACTTATTTAAAAGTTTAGAATAACCACTCCTCACTTCTTAGCAGTATTCTCCACCCTTTGTGCCTTCAATAACTTCTATCCTTGTATACACAATCGCTTTCCATTCTCAAGTGTCTTTGAAAGGAACATCTGACAATCTTTAAACACATTCACATCATAGTTAGAATTAGGACACGGGTTATTCTGAACAAGAAAATGTAACAAAACTTGCTAAGAATTATATAATGTGCTGTTAGCATTTTTTTTTATTTTTTTAGTTGTAGATGGACACAATGCCTTTATTTATGTGGTGGTGAAGACTGAACCCAGTGCCTCACATATGCGAAGCAAGCACTCTATCTTGAGCTACAACTCCAGCCCCTGCTTTTTACATTTTTATGTCAATGAGGTCTAAAGCAAAATCTATAAATGGGTTCTCCCAAAATCCTGGAACAGATTTTGACTACAATTCTATTCCTTAAAAAAAATTAAAAATTWAATTTTCTTAATGGTTATAACTCATTTATTCTGAAATTAGACACTTATTCCAACACTTTCTTTTGTGGTGCTGGGGCTCAAACTCAGGACCTCCAGGATGCCCTCTACCACTGAGCCACACCACCAACCCCTATAATGACTTTGTTTATTATTGTTACAAATTTCAAATATTGTAAAATCTCAAATATAGTTTAAACATGAGCAGTATGCTGTGTTTAAAGCCAACTTGGACTGTAAACCACATTTCCCACTGCTACCAATCCTATTCATCTCATTAAGTGTTGTGAATTCACTCCTGGGCTTAGTTTCATAGAACTAAGGCGTTTAAAAGATTACACCAAAGAGCTTAGTTATTAAGTTTATGATCTAAATGTATGAGAGAAGGTTTTCTTTTTTTAAAAAATATTTTTGTTATTAATGGACCTTTATCTATTTTTTTTTAATATGTGGTGCTAAGAATCGAACCCAGTGCCACACACATG